ACACAGATCAATCATGGTCTGGAATGGAAAGGGAGGGCCTTGACCGCGTGTGCAAGGCTGCCTACCCCGCAACTGCCATTTGCTGAATGAATTGAATGAATGAACGACTCTGGGGAGAGCCGGCACCCCTCGCCCCAGGTCTGCTTCACTGACCATCCCTGCACAGCCAGGGAATGGTCTGGACCTTTCCCCAGGGAAACGCCCTCTGATGATTGCCCAGTGCCTAGGAAGCAATTCTCAAACTTTTCCCCAAAAGCACCCTCACCCACCTCAAGTGGGAATAGCTTTGAAGGCTTGTGTTTTCTATTTGAAAGGGCTGGAATTTTGCGTTCTGCTCCAGAACATTTCAAGTAAAAACGATATTTCTCTTCAATTCTTGGGGTACAATCTGTTCTGGGGAGATGGTGCCCCACTTGCCCTGTGGCTTCAGGTCTCAGGATTTCTTGGCTCATTCAACTTCTTGGCTGACCTTCAAGGCCTTAGGGTCTGGCCTTGAGAGTTAGGCCTCCGATAGGCCTTCGTGCTAGCTCTCTCTCTTCTCTCCAGGGTTCAACGCAGCCCTCGGAGGGGAGGCTGCCGCTGGACGCCGGCCCACAGCTGGCCTCTGTGTGACCTAACGCCCAACCCCTGGCACTTTGTGCTTCATATGAGCAGCCTTTCAGTGTCTGCTGAGCTCGTGGCTAGTCTCTTGGCATCCGAGTGGGCCAGGAATGTCACCTGCATCCAAGCGACAACCTCCCTCTTCCCTGGAACCTCTACGCCGCATTTTAGGACCTGGTGAACATTCCTCGGAGCAGCACACAAAGTCATAATATTTACAGGGAATTGAACCGTGGCTGAGAATGGAGAAGCTGGGGGCCTGGGATTTCCAAGGCAGCTTGCGGTGGGGGAGCTGAGGAAGGAAAGCGCTGTGGCCCGAGAGCAGGAAGAGGCTTCTTCCCCTCCTGCCTCAGTCTCCTGCAAACTTTGCTCTCCAACACAGTGGGCGTAGGAGCTGACTGCCTGCAAGGCTCCGGTAATAAACACACCCCTCGGTGTGGTTTCCTTGGGAGATGACTTGCTTCTGAAATAACTTTACGATTAGAAAAACTTTGGGGTGGCTGTTCCCTTCCCTGGAACATGGAAACACAACTGCGAAAGTCGTTTTTTCTGTTCACTAGGCCGTCCTGATTTCTGTGGCCTGGTATATACTTAGTGAGAAATTCTAGGATCCTTCAGAACTTTCACCTCCTGCCCCTGTGCGGATCCATGTGGCTCTGTGCTCAGCATTTCCTTCTGGGAGCGTCCACCTGGGGCGTGCAACACCCGGGGACAGGACAGACAGCCGGCCTCATCCCAGTGCAGCCAGTGAGGGACTCAAACGCGAACCCTACCACAATCCCCATGGGGAGGGGCTCTAGGCAGAACCTGATTGGAGGAGCAAGCACAGCCAGGCTTGAAACTGCCTTGGCCCAGCCCTTGACAAAGACTGAGAAACTCTCAACCAGTCCTACCCAAGAATTGGGGGGCAGGGGGAAGTGAGAAGGCACCCCAGGGGCTTCCCAATGTTGCAGCCATGGCATCCACGCCAGATCCTGCAAGGGCCTCCCTAGGATGTCTGACGTGCAGCCATGGAGCTCGATGGCCTCTCCTCTTCTGGCATCTTGGGCCATCAGGATGGAGCCATTTTCCCTTACAAGAAAAGCCAAATGCAGGAGGCAAGAAAACGGCCTATATGTAGACTGGGGTTGCCAGATCGAGCAGATGATACCTAGGTACATTTGAATTTCAAATAAACAGCGGATAATTTTTAGTGTAAGTATGTCGCAAATGTTGCAGGGACATGCTTATATTAAAACTTTATTTGTTCTTTATCTGAAATTCAAACTTGGCTGGACATCTTGAAGATCGACTTGCTCAATCTGGTGGCCCGAAGGCAAAGGGAGCTGAACTCAGTTTCCTGGCAACCCTGCTTCCTGTCCCTGGACCCAGCTCTGCTGAAGCTGTTTCTACCCTGGGGCCTTCCAAGGAGAAGGGTCAGGACATTTGCTTTGTTTTATTTTTATTTTTTCATTTTCAAATTTAGAGTTGGGTTTCTGTCCCTTGCAACCAAAGGAGTCATGGGAAGTAAGCAAGTGATGGCCAAAATTCAGGGTGAAGTGAGGTGTGGCATGGAAATCTAGCGGCTTGGAGAGGGAGAATTTGAAACCAGGTGACATGGTTTGGCTGTGTCCCCACCCAAATCTCATCTTGCATTTTAGCTCCCGTAATTCCCCAGTGTTGTGGGAGAGACCTGGAGGGAGGTAATTTAATCATTGGGGCGGTTTCCCCGATACTGTTCTCATGGTAATGAGTAAGTCTCACGAGAACTGATGATTTTATAAGGGATTTCCCCTTTCACTTGGCTCCTATTCATTCTTGCTTGCGTGCTGCCATGTCGGATGTGCCTCTCGCCTTCTGCCATGTAGAACTGTAAGTTCATTAAACCTCTTTTGCTTTATACATTACCCAGTCTCAGCCAGGCATAGTGGCTCATACCTGGAATCCCAGCACTTTGGGAGACCAAGGTGGGTAGATCACTTGAGGTCAGGAGTTTGACACCAGCCTGGCCATCATGTTGAAACCTTGTCTCTACTAAAAATACAAAAATTAGCCAGGTGTGGTGGCACATGCCTGTAATCCCAGCTACTCTCCTGGGGAGGCTGAGGCAGGAGAATCGCTTGAACCTGGGAGGCACAGGTTACAGTGAGCCGCACCACTGCACTCCAGCCTGGGCAACTGATTAAGACTCCATCTCAAAAAAATCAAGTCAAATCAAATCAAACACCCAGTCTTGGATAAGTTTCTTTTCTTTTTTTTTTGAGAGGAAGTTTTGCTCGTTGCCCAGGCTGGAGTGCAATGGCATGGTCTCGGCTCATCACAGCCTCTGCCTCCTGGATTCAAGTGATTCTCCTGCCTCAGCCTCCCGAGTAGCTGGGATTACAGGCATGTGCCACCAGGCCCTGCTGATTTTGTATTTTTAGTAGATACAGGTTTTCTCCATGTTGGTCAAACTGGTTTCGAACTCCCAACCTCAGGTGATCTGCCCACCTCAGCCTCCCAAAGTGCTGGGATTACAAGCGTGAGCTACTGCGCCTGGCCTCGGGTCTGTCTTTATCAGCAGCATAAAGACAGATTAATAATACACAGGGGTTCAAGATCTCTTAAAGGAGGATTTCGGGGTCTGGTGTCGTGGCTCCAGCCCAGGCAGCTTCTTCTTTTTCTCTCATGGTGGGTGCCCTGCATCCCCGCAGCTGCCTACACAGCAAGTGACCTGTATTGAGCCTGGGGTTCATTTCTTTCTCCTGACCTGGAGCTTTTCTAGGCCTCCACCTGTGCCTGGGCTATCTTGAGTCTTCTAAACCCTTCCTTCCTTTCTTTCTGAGGCTGTTGGCTGTTATTGTGATTTAAATTATATCAGCATTTGTCTTCCATTACAAAGTAATCTGTACTTACTGGGTCATTTTATTTTTATGTTATATATTTTTTATTAGAATATTATATATACATATATACTTTATTTCAATAGCCAATAAGTGGTTTTGGTTACATTACTTTTTTTTTTTTTTTGAGACAGTCTCACTCTATAGACTAGGCTTAGGGTGCAATGGTGCGATCTTGGCTCATTGCAACCTCTGCCTCCTGGATTCAAGTGATTCTCCCACCTCAGCTTCCCAAGTAGCTGGGATTATAGGAGTGCACTACCATGCCCAGCTAATTTTTTGTATTTTTAGTAGAGATGGGGGTTTACCATGTTGGCCAGGCTGGTCTCAAACTCCTGACCTCAGATGATCCACCCACCTCAGCTTCCCAAAGTGCTGGGATTACAGGTGTGAGCCATTGTGCCCATGATGAATTGTTTAGTGGTGAAATCTGAGATTTCAGTTCATCCGTCACCTGAGTAATGTACATGATAACAGGATCATTTTAAACCTCACACTTTCATTGTTTTAAAAATAATAAAGGCTGGGCGTGGTGCCTCATGCCTGTAATCCCAGCACTTTGTGAGACCAAGGTGGGTGGATCACAAGGTCAGGAGATTGAGACCATCCTGGCTAACACGGTGCAACCCTGTCTCTACTAAAAACAAAATACAAAAAATTAGCCAGGTGTGGTGGTGGGCACCTGTATTCCCAGCTACTCAGGAGACTGAGGCAGGAGAATCACTTGAACTTGAGAGGTGGAGGTTCCAGTGAGCCGAGATGGCACCACTGCACTCCAGCCTGGGCAACAGAATGAGACTCTGTCTCAAATAATAATAGTAATAAAATTTCAGGCTGCGTGCGGTGGCTCACACCTGTAATCCCAGCACTTGGGGAGGCCGAGGCGGGTGGATCACGAGGTCAAGAGATCAAGACCATCTTGGCCAACATGGTGAAACCCTGTTCATCTATTCCAGATGGGCACGCTGCTCCTTTTGCCACCTTGTGATGTCACCATGCCTGCATGGGTCCTGCATGCTATTGGTGACAATCTGCAAATCTCTAACTCCTGTACCTCGAGTGGTCCTGAAATCCTATCTGACTTCCCCAGAACACTTAGGTTCCTAGGAGTGTGACACAGCTTGGACTTAGGGGACAGGAGAGAAGACAAATGAAGGCATCAGGCTCTAGTGTCTTCAAAGACCCTCACCTCTTGACATCTCCCATCAGGTATCCCCATGTGCTCCCTTAGGGGTGAGCTCCTTCCCCTCCCGTGGGCTTCTGGGAAGGTTGGGGGACTCTTCCCAGACTGCTTGGGAATCTATGAGATGCAATCATTCTCCCCACCGCTGTCTCTCCCATGAGGCTCACGAACCCTCTTGCAAATGGAACGCACTGGCTTGCTCAGACACACTCACACTTGCAATGGGCATGTGGCTGTCCGAGGTTCAGGTCCCTCACCCACCCGAAACCTCCCCTTCCTCTAAGAACACACCAGCACGATGCCGGGGCCCACAGACCCCTGTATCCCATCCCCCAAAGAAAGAATTAAAGCATGGATTTTGGCAAATCAGTTTTATTGTTTAAAAAATAAGTGTTACATTTGACATAGAAAAAGGCATTTTGAAAACGTTTTTTAAAGGTTTAAAAAGGCAATTGTTCTGGCCAAGTCTGGTAGCTCATGCCTGTAATCCCAGCACTTTGGGAGGCTGGTGGCAGCCTGCCCCCAGCACTTTGGGGGCAGGTGGATCGCCTGAGGTCAGGAGTTTGAGACCAGCCTGGCCAACAGGGTGAAACCCATCTCTACTGAAAATACAAAAATTTGCTGGGCATGGTGGTGTAAGCCCAGCTCTTAGGAGGCTGAGGTAGGAGAATCACTTGAACTCAGGAGGTAAAATTTGCAGTGAACCGATATTGTGCCACTGCACTCCAGCCTGGGCAACAGAGCAAGACTCTGTCTCAAAAAAAAAAAAAAAAAAAAAAAAAAAAAATGGCATTTGTTCTGAATGTGTCTCGTGTCTCATCATCCCAGGGATCTTTGAGTTTCCAGTGTTTCCATAAAAACCAGTGGGGTTCCCCTGTCTAAAAAAAAGCACGAACATTCTTGCTGCTTGGCAATGGGTGGCTCTCATGCCCATGCCTCTCCACCCAAGGGAACAGCCTCTTTGCTCCTCACCTGGCAGAAGCCCAGACCCCGAGTCCCTGGCACAGGGCAGAGCGCAGGAACGTGATCCAGATGCAGCAGGCCCCGCCCCTGTCTAGTTCTCCTGTAACAGCCTCTCAGCACTGCTCCAATGTGACATGTCCAGCTGGAATCACAGTTCCCTCTCAGACACAGGTAAAGACACGCTCCTGGGACTCAGCAGGGGCTCTGCCCCTGGGATCTGCTGCCAGCTGGCTCTTCCCGGTGGACAGAACCAGGAAGTGAAGGCTGTTTCTAGCACATCTCAGAGAGGTAAAGGCAAGTCGGGTTCCTGATTTCTGGCTAACACAGATCCTTCCTCCTACATGCAGGCAACCCATAATGCTTCACAACAGACCCCTCTAGGCTTCTGTGGGGATAGAGTGAAGGACCCAAACTGACACAGGTGGGGTCTGTTAACACTTCCACTTTCAAAGCTAACTACCAGCTGTTCAAATACACTCCATACAGCTTTCAGCAAATCCAAGTGATTACCTCTCCCACACCAAGGGAAGAAAAGATGCAGACTGCCTTTAAAGCCCCTGACGGCAAGGTGAGGGTTTAAACAAAGATCAGCCTTGAGAATCAAAACAGCAGCAGAAGTGTAATTACTCTAATGCTCCTGCTTCCCATGTGTGGGTCACACAGAGATGGGCACCTCCCCGGCGACTTCCTTTGCAAACAGAAGCAGTCCCAAAAGTTGGCTAGAAGGAAAGCTTCAGCAAAGGGATCGCATTCCCCCTGGCTTGCTGGAATCTCAGAAATGCATCTGAAAGCCCTTGCCATCCCGTCTAGTGCTGACCACAGCGTGAGTCAAGTTGCACCTTGCTCAGCAACGAGCTGCGAGAGCCTCAGTTTCTCACTCACACCCTGCCTTGCAATGCTGATGGTGGGTTGGAGAACCATGTGTGTGGCTCTTCCTGGATGGCATCTGCTGCCCAGGGTTCCTGCTCCTTTCCCCGGTGGCCAGATTTTGCAGGGAAGACTGAAGAGATGGGAGGGAGAGCTCTGCTCTGGAGCAGAAGGCACAGGAGGAGGTGGGCTGTTTTATAGGGAGACTGCCCAGGGCACTGCTAAAGGAAAACCAAGAACCTGGGAGTGTCCAACTCAACTCCTCTGCATGAGCAAATGAAGACGGACATTGGACTGTGCCAAATGACACCTGGGCTCACACATGCTGTGGACAAGAGACAGAAGCAGGCAAGACTATAGCAATAAATCTGCATTTCCAACGAGGCAGCTCCCATGACTGAGTTACAATGCTTGGTGCCTCCAAAGGCAGACGGCACCAGCCGGGAGGTTCGTATGGCATCACCGCTTCGGATGCCCTCACAGGCTCAGATTCGCTGCCAGATGCTGGTGAGACTGAAAGCACTTCCTTCCTTCCTGTGTACAGTATGAACGGTACTGCTTCAACTGCCACCCACACAGGTGCAGCCTCATGGGAGAGTTGTAGAGAGAGGGAATGTGTTCAGTTCAGCCAGCGGATGACAAGGGGTAAGTGGCCCCTAGTGGGTCACATGGCCTGTGACATCTGGTCTCCACAGATCTTCGCCCTCTGGAGCCTCATTTGCAGGGCGAATGGGTGCTAGGGTGTCATCCGGTCACTGCGGCCACCTCGCCCTTGTCACCACGGGCCTTTCCTGTGCCGTGCTCACTCTGACACTGAGATGCTGCCAGGGTGCTTTTGTTTTTCTAACCAGTGGAGTAAGTTCTAAGGGAGCTCCATGTGCTGAAGATAAAAATGTAGCTGGGGAAAACGGATGCACAGGCTGCTTCTCTGAGGCTGCATATATCATACAGGACAAAAAGAGTTTTGTACCTGAAAACCAAATTCTGGGAAACAGTCCTGTGGCTTTGGAAGCTTCTCCCTCCCTGAGAGGTGTTCCACCTGGGCCCTCTCGGAGAACAGGAACAGAAGAAACTCAAGAAAAACACCAGGGGCCAGACTAGGGAGCCTGAGCCCTGCATAGTTTGGAATGAAACCCCTCGAGGGAATAGTCTGGAATATTAGGCCAAAAGGTAGGAAGCTTTGAGTATGATTATAATTTGGGGGCCCAAGAGTAAGGTTAAAGTATTGTCTCCAGAGAAACAACAGGGAAATTCAGTAGGATGGGCCTATTTTAACTTGAAGTTGGCAGAAAATTTGCCCCCAGATTTTGATCTATCTTACATCTAGCTTCAAGTCCCTTGATTCCTTCCCCTCTACAAATGGTGATCATGCTTGCTCTAGAGCTGCTGACTGAAAAGGTCTCCCAAAGGAGGGGCCCTTCTGCCATTTATAGGCCCCCAAGTGCACATGTGAGCCTCCATGTGGATGGAATCATTGGTCCACACCAGGGCACCTGGACTGTGGTGACTGCTGCCACCATAGGCCTCAAGGGCTCCCAGGCCAGGAAGAGGCCAGAAGCATGCCTGGGAACACAGCCCTGGAATCCCACAGACCTGGGTTCTGAGCAGGGCTGCTGCCTGGGCTGTTGTCATCATTCTTTCCTTTTCTTTTTTCTTTCTTTTTTTGAGAGAGGCTCACTCTGTCTTCCAGGCTAGAGTGCACTAGTGCAATCACACCTTACTGCAGCCTCAGCCTCCTGCACTCTGGTGATCCTCCTACCTCAGCCTCCCGAGTAGCTGAGACTACAGGTAGGCACCACCATGCCTGGCTAATTTTTTAAAAACCTTTTGTAGACGGGGGTCTCACCATGTTGCCCAGGCTGGTTTCAACCTTCTGAGCTCAAGTGAACCTCTCACCTCAGCCTCCCACAGTACTGGGATTACAGGCACTAGCCAGGGCACCTAGCCCAATTTAGTGAAATTTAAGAAGCATTTTTTAAAATGAAAACTACAAAATAGAGGATATCCAAAGTCCTAAAAATAAGAATTTTTTTTTTTATGAAACTTGCTTGAGACACAGTTGTAAACGAATGGACTAATTTATGATGGAAGGCACATTTCTTGCTGCAGACTCTGGTCTGAAGTTTGAAAGCCACCAGCCCAGAAGGTTCCAAGAACTTCTGCTTCCTAACTCAGGTGAAGGGAAAGGGGTGGGCAGGGGCAGGGGAACATGAAAAGCTCCAAGTTTGGACTTTTCCAACATGATCTGAAGAAGGCACTTGATTCTGGAAAGACAACCTTTGGCCTTTTGACCCCCACTCACACTCCCACCCACGATCTGCACAGACCCATGGTGCATCCCAGGCAAGGCTGAGCTAGAACACGACATCCCAGACTCGGCGTCAGTGACTACTATTCAGAAATGGTGACTTCAAGGGCCGGCTCGCCCTTCATCCTGCAGGGGTACTTGGGCATGTGAAGGCCCCTTTCTCTCTGGCGTTGCCACTGCAGAGGAGTCAGTTCCTGAAGAATAGATGGGAGAGTGCTGGGGCCAGGCATCCGGGGAGAGAGGAGGGAAATGAGAAATCAGGCACAGGAGCTGCTCAGGGACCAGGCACTCAGGAGGTGGCAGTGTAGTGCAAGGGCTCCCCCACGAGGGCAGCTGTGAAACTTCCACTGAGACCCCCTGTACTCTCCTGAGCCCGCCCATCACGTGCAGAAGCAGACACTGGGCGCCGGGATGGGGTCTTCCCGGCTCTGGGCTCTATGGTTCTGTCCTAATGAGGGGCACTCTTCAGGTTTATAAAGACAGATGTACTGGCTGGGTGTGGTGGCCACACTTGTAATCCCAGCACTTTGGGAGACTGAGGTGGGTAGACTGCCTGAGCTCCGGAGTTTGAGACAAGCCTGGGCAACGTGGTGACACCCTTGTCTATGAAAATACAAAAATTAACTAGGCATGGTGGTTGGCACCTGTAGTCCCATCTACTCATGACGTTGAGGCACGAGAATTGCTTGAACCCAAGAGGTGGAGGTTGTAGTGAGCCAAGACCTTGCCACTGTGTTCCTGTCTGGGCGACACAGAAAGACTGTCTCAAAAAAAAACAAAAAAAAAAACGAGAGAGAGAAAGATCCCTCTGTCTGGTCTGGGTTGGTGGCCAGAGTAAGCAGTCTGAAAAAGAGCCCCGGCTTGGGAACCAGGTCTCAGGCTGGCATTGCAAATGAAAGCCAAGATTCCTTGAAATCCATAGCCTTGAAGTGTAAATAGTCCAGAAAGAAACTGACTTTGCCATGCTCCCTCATCCATGAAAGCCCCCTCTGAAAATGTGGTCGAAATTTTTTATCTGCCCAAACGAGTTCAAGTGTAAGGTGGGGGAGAAGCCAGACAGAAAAATTGACCTTAACCAAGAGTTCTGTCTCCCAGCCTTGACTGTGGGATGTTGAACAAACAAAACTACACATGTCCTGGGAATTTTGCTTTGTGTTGTTTTTTAAAAGAATGTCAGAGCCTTCCTTGGGGGTGTCAGAAAAGCAGGTATTGCTGGCCCATGGCTTCTCAAGATCACAGTCCCCAACCTATGCTTATGGAGAAGCTATCCACTTACTTCCCCAGTCTTGGCAGTGTTAGTGGTGAGGTGAGAAGTGGCAGGAGAGATAGCAGACGGGAAGTCATGGGGCCACCAAGGGGTAGGGAGAGAAGGCCTGGCTGCAGCCCTGTCAACTGCCAAGCGAGCCCCTGAAGGGCTGTGGACAGCCGCCCTGCCAGTGAGGCCTGGCTCCTATCTTGGTGGGAGCAGAGCCGTCTGGATGACCCTGTGTCACTTGATGCTCCATCTCTCTCCCCACTAATGAGCTGTCACCTCAGTTGGTGATTTAACTGGATCTGTCCTGGTAAAACAAGAAGGGCTACTGAGAGTGGAACACCCACCTGGGAGTCCCCTGAGATGTAACTGACCCTCTTAAATTGGGGCTCCCCAGGATTATGTGCACCCTGATTATGTGCACCCAGCATGCTTCATGGAAGAAGACTAGCAGGACAGAGAAGCAGCAGAGGTCGGGGGTCCTCTCTGAGGATGCTGGGGGCGTAAGACCCCACCTCGCCATGCAGAGCAGGTCATCAGCTGAGAAAGGGAGCTCCAGACAGCACTCTGAGATTTCTGGGGCCTGGCACAGTGGCTCACACGTGTAATCCCAGCACTTGGGGAGGCTGAGATGGGAGGATCGCTTGAGCTCGGGGGTTTGAGACTAGCCTGGGCAACTAGAAGGGCTCATCTCTGCAAATATTTTTTTTTAATTAAAAAAAAGTTCTGGAATCTTTTTCATTGCCTAATCTGTGCTGCTGTATTCCGGTTATCAGCCCTGATCTCTCTATAAACGGAGTCTGAGGAATAGCAAAGATGCAGGCAGGAGACTGGAATTCCCACTGCACAGCCAGGATGGAGGAGAGAGGGTCAGTGAGTGGGAGCCGGTGGAGGCAGCAAAGAGGAGAGACAGAGGCTGGATGTGCAGAGGTTCTAGAAGAAGGGGCAGCTGGGGAAGGAGGGGCTTGACCCCTTCAAGGTCTCAAGATGGTCAGCAGCGCCCCTGCCTTGCACAGGGTAATGTACTCCCCTGGGTACCTCTGCACCCTTCTGTCTGCCAATCATGCTCTTTGAATGTTCCCCAGGAGCCAGTTCAAGGACCACCTCCCCCAGGAAACTTTCCCTGATTAACCTCAGCCCACCACGTCTCCTCCTGTGAACACGGGAGCTGGGCGCCATCTGCGTTGTGCTGGCTGATGGGAATGTGTGACTGCTGCAGGGCTTTTCTTAAGGTTTCTCTCCTGGCCTGGATTTGGAGCTTCTCAGGAGCAGATTCCATTTCTTCTTTGTTTCTGCATCTATCCACCACTAGACAGAGCTGCCTGTCAAAGGTATTGGGACAAGACCTTGTCCTGCCCTCTCTGGGGCCTGACTGTGGGGCAGCAGGGTCTGGAGAGCCAGGGCATGCTGGCAGGTGGTGGAGCCGAGAGGGGAGGGAGACAGAGGTGAAGGAAAGCACAGGAGCAGACCGGGCAAGGGGCGCAGACACCCTCATCCCAGGAAGGCGTCGTAGTCCATGTACCACACCAGCTGACCGGAGTGTGGCAGGACACCTGAGATGGGCCACTTCTTGGGCTCATGGCCCACCCGGCTCACCAGTGTGGTGATTTCACGCTTCATCCTGCCCATGACCAGGACCGCCACCTTCTTGGCGCGGTTGATGAGAGGCAGGCTGAGGCTCATGCGGCGGTGTGGCTGGGAGGGGCTTGTGGTCAGCACGACCAGCTGCTCGCCATCCAGGCCAGTGGGCGACTGTGGGAAGAGGGAGGCTGTGTGTCCATCAGTGCCCATGCCCAGCAGCACCAGGTCGAAGCTGCTGTTGGCCACTAGGGTTGAGATCTCCCTGGCATAGAGCTGGGCACCCTGGTCCTCCTCAGCACAGAGCCGCTGCTGCAGGTGCACCGGCATGGGGTGGATGTTGAGGTAGGGGACCCGGACGTGCTGCAGCAGGTGGGCTTGCAGGCCCTGGAAGTTGGACTCTGGATCAGAGAGCGGGACACAGCGCTCGTCAACCAGCCACAGGTGCGTGTGGGCCCAGGGGAAGCCATAGTGTGCTGTGGCCAGCTGCTGGAATAGGGCCACAGGACTTGAGCCCCCTGACAGCGCCAGGTGGAACTGGCCAAAGCGCCGTACAGCCTGCACAGCGGTGGCCTCGATGTCAGTGGCCAGCTTAGAGATCAGCTCCTCAGACCAGGCAGACACCAGCGGGCTCTCTCGGTACTTGGCCCGGAGGACCTGGAAGTCACTGGGCATTGGGGCTGACCCTGGCCCTGGCACCAGCTGCTCCGGCTGCTGCTGGGAAAAGAACAACCGGCCGCTACTGAACTCAAAGTCCAGCAGATGGCCGTTCTCAGCTCCTCCAGGATACAGGCGTGGGACCGTGTGGGCCAGGCTTTCCAGTAGGGGCGTCCAGAAGCCCCAAGAGGCCAGCAGGTTCTCTGTGGTGATGAAGGAATCCTTCCGGCCGTGGTAGATGTGGGATAAGAGGATGGAGTAGGCGTCCCGCTCCTGCACGGGGCTGTAGGCATAGTAACTGGACAGAGGGCTGCCAAAAATGCGGAGCCCGGGCGGGCCCTCCACTTCCTTCCAGCTGGAGGGCAGAGAGGGCCTGAACAGGTTCTTGCTGACCAGCACAGCCGGGCTACCCAGGTCACCATGGCCAATGTGGAAGACGAGCTGCCGAGGCAGGCACTGGCTCTGCGCTGCGGCCCAGTGCTTTTCGCTCTGGACACAGCATGCCTGGTTCTTGAACAAGATCCGAGCGTAGCCCACTCTCTCATCCAAGGCTTTGCCAGACATCAGGATGAAAGGCACACCCTCCCAGCGAAGGTTGTCAACGTGCACGAGAACGCCTGGGGCGAGGGAACAGCAGAAGGTGACTCTCCGGCACAGACCAGGACTCTCTGGCCAGCCCTCTCCTCGCCGGCCCCTCCTCCGGGCGTCCCCCTGCCTGTGGGAAGCCCCTCGCCTTGTCATGATCACCCCTCAGCTGGCCTCTCTTCTATGACCTTCTCTTCCTGGTCCATGCTGAAAAACTGGCCTCTGGGGTTATCTCTACAGCTTTGCCACCTCCCTTCCTTGAGGCCTCTCTTAGAGTCATGGTCCCCCAGCAAAGAAGAGCCTGGCTGAGAGCCTCCAAGCTGGAGATTCTACAGGAAGCCCCACAGTGGGGGCAAGCAGGGTGGGGGATCCTGACTCAGCTGTATAAGGGGGCGGGGGCCCTACAGAGAAATGTTCTCCCCTCCTCTGTTTGTGAAGCATTCACGATGCACCCGACCCAGGGTCAGATGCAGGGGGGTGGGGAGACAGTCACTCAACCAGAGGCCCATGGGCGGGGTATCAGCGGGGAGGATGACTTTGGGGAGGGCAAGGGCTGGTGGCAAGAGCCCAGAGCTGACAGGACTCCCTGGCCAAGTTCCAAGCCTGGTTCATTTTCATGACATCACCGAGCCTGACATTTCCTCACATATAAAACAGGGCTAATGACCCCCGCCTCTTGGTTTGTGCGTGAGACTTGCAAGAGAGACGTCTACAAGGCACCTGGCACGTGGCACATGCTCCGCAGGCAGCGCTGTTCTTGCTGCCTCGCTGCTAGCTGCCGAGGAGTCAGCCTCTCCCAGAAAGCCCTGGGCCTCTGGAACTGCCTACAGGACAACCCTAGTCTGGCACTTGCCCACTGGAAGTGTCTCCAGCTGTGGCCAGGCCAGGCCAAAGGCTTGCGGCCTTGCTGGGTAGGCCCTATGAGGCGGGAACCAGGTCTGTCTGAGCCTCCCATGACAAACCCTTGGGAAGCATCTGGGACTGAAGTGGGGCTGACGCGAGGCCAAGGCCATCAGGACTTCCTTCACCCTGAGAGCACCAGCAGGTGGCCTGCTGCTCTGAGCTGGTAGGAGGCCAGGGAGACAGGGGAACGCTTTCTGCCAAGCACCCTGGGAGAAATTCCACTGCAAGTCCCCTCCACCCCACCCAAAGGAGTGTGGGTTTGGAAAGTTGCTCCCGGAAGTCAGCAGCCCAGCGCCCCGTGCCCGACCCCAGGGCCCACCTGCAAAGGTCGGTGTCAGGCTGTGGAAGCTGTCTAGCTTCTGCAGCTCCCTGCGCACCTGCTCGCTGTAAGCCTGGTACTGGCCCACGACGGCACTGACCCTCTGCAGGCCCCGCAGTGCCTGGAAGAGCCGAAGCTTGTGCCGCAGCACCGCCTCCACGCTGCTGACGCTGTGGGGCAGCTCCATGGCCACCAGGGTGAGGATCTCTGTCAGGTGGTTCTGGAGGACGTCACGAATGACACCGTACTCCTCATAGAAGCTGGTGCGCCCTGGTGAAGGGAGGTGGAGAAGGGGAGGATGTAAAGAGAGGCCAGGGCATCAGATTTCCCCAAGGTGCACCAAGACCCCAGCCCCACATTCGTCCTGCATCCAAGCATCCTTGCCCCTGAGTCCACAGATCCTATAAAAATGGTGCATACCAAAGCCAACCTCACCAAGAGAAGGGAGGAAGTCTTAAAGCCACCGTCTCTGTCAAACAATGAGAACTTCTGTAAGAGAATGCGTTAAATCCATAAGCCTCTCCAGAAATCCACATGAAGAAAGCTCTATTCCCAGTAAAGGCCAGATTGCACCTGCAGATACTGGCCAGCCCCTCACCCTGCCCTGCCTGGCCACTGGCGGCAGACGGCTTGGCACTGTGGGGGCTATGGTGCCATGGTGGGGGCAGCAGCACTGTGGCAGGGGCTCGGGCCCTAGAGTGTGACTGCCACTTACTAATGTGTGATCTTGGGCAAGTAACTTGACTTTTGTTCCTGCATCCTGCCCTCTGATGGGACCAACAAATGGCACCTCACTACCAGGCGCACATCTGTGCCAAGCAGTGTGCAGGGGAGTGGGAAAGAGGGAAAGAGGGAAGGAGAGAAAAGGAAGCAAATAAAACTACAGACTGGCTGTGACTGAGGGTAATGAAAAGGCTCCTGTGAGACCCGAAGAGCCAGCCGGGCAAAAGACCAGGGAGAGAGCGTCTCAGATGCATGGACCCTCCAGTGCCAAAGCCCCGAGGCAGGAAGGAACTTGGCGTGCTGGGGGCCAGATGGAGGTGAGCAAAGAGTGGGGACAGCAGTGAGGCTGGAGAGGAGTGCAGGGGTCTTGCAGGACAAGGCAAAGAGGATGCACTTTTTCTAAGCTCACTGGGGGACGCTGAAGGGTTTGAGTCAAAAGACGAGACCCATATTGGGGAACAACCCCTGGCCTGCAGGGGAGAATGGGTGCAGAAGCAGGGAAGGCAAGAAGGAGGCTGCACGGCTGCCCAGCGGAGACGACAGGGCCTGGACTAATGGGTAGTACAGGAGCTGCGGGGGAGGGAGATGCACCTGGAGTCAGGATTGGCTGGACCTGCTGACAGACAGGGTGGGCGTGAGCAACACGGAGGCCCCAAATACGAGCCCTGGAAGTGGGGCCTGAGTGGAGGGATGGGCAGTAGAGGCGCTCACAGACACAGGGAGGCTGGGAGTGGAGGAGTTTGGTGGAGGATTTAGATGTGTTTATGCTGAAGATCCCAAGGTGCACACGTCCAGTTGTCAGGTGTATGGGGTGACTGTGAGAATAAAAGGGAAGAACACCTGGAGAACACAGAGCAGCAGGCCCAGCGTTAACAGCAACATAACAATACAGGTGTAAAAACAACATAACACTGGCATAACAACAGCAACATAACACCACCAGTATAACAACAACATAACACTGACATAACAACAATGTAACAACACCAGCATAAGGACATAACACCAGCGTAACAATATAACACCAATGTAACAACAATGTAACAACACTGGTGTAACAACAACATAACAAAACCAGTGTAACATAACACTGGCCTAGCAACATAACAACACTGGTGTAACCACAGCAACATAACAATACCAGTGTAACAACATAACAGTGACATAACATTACAACACCAGCATAACAACAGCAACATAACACCAGCTTAACAACAATATAACACTGGCATAACAAAACCAACATAACACCAGTGTAACAACACCAACATATCAACACTAGCATAACAACACTGGTGTTAACAACACCAGCATAACACCAACAACGTAACACCAGCATAACAACACTGGCATAACAACAATGTAACAACACCAGCATAACAACAATGTAACAACACCAGCATAAGAATGTAACACCAGCATAACAACATAATACCAACATAACAACAGTGTAATAACATCAGCATAACAATGTAACAATAGAGTAACACCAGCAACATAACACTGGTGTAACAACAATGTAACAACACCAGCATAACAACATAACACTGGTGTAGCAACATAACAACACTGATATAACAACATAACACTGGCATAATGTTACAAAACCAGTGTAACAGCAGCAACATAAGACCAGCTTACAACGATGTGACAACACTGGCATAACAACACCAGCATAACACTGTAACATCAATATAACAACAATGTAACAATACTGGCATAATATACCACTACTGTAACCCCAGCATTACAATGTAACAACACTGGCATAACACCACCACCAGCATAACAGCAATGTAACAACACTGGCATAACACCAGCAACATAAAACCGGTGTAACAAAGTAACAACACTGGCATAACACCAGCAACATAACACTAGTGTAACAATGTAACAATACTGGTATAACAGCAACATAATGACATTGGCATAACATAACAACACCAGCCTAACAATGTACCACCAGCATAACAACAGCAACATAATACTGGCATGACAATATGTAACCACACTGGTGTAACAGCAGCAACATAACCCCAATGTAACACCATAACACTGGTGCAACAACCTGCCACTATGTAACAATGTAATAATACCCGTGTAACACTAACACTGGCATAACAACAGTGTAACAACACTGGTGTAACAGCAACATAACACTGGCATGTTACAACACTGGCATAACACTAGCAACATAACCCCAGTGTAACAATATGACAACACTGGCGTAACAACACCAACATAACAATACCAGTGTAACAACAAAACATCAACATGACAACACTGGCATTAACATCAACATATCAATGGCATAACAGCAACATAACACGGGTGTAACAACATAACACCAGCATAATGGCAACATAACACAGGCGTAACAATAGCAACATAACACTGGCATAATATAACACTGGTATAACAGCAACATAACACCAGCGTAACAACAGCAACATAAAACATGATAGTGGCATAACACTGCTGTGACAACAATGTAACAGTGTAACAACAGCAACCTAACAACAGCATAACAATGTAACAACACTAGCATAACAACAATGTAGTAACACAGTTGTAACAACATAACACCGAGCAATGTAACAACACTGGCATAACAGCCACCTAACACCAGTGAAACAATGTAACACCACCAGCATAACAATAGCAACACCATATAACAACAATGTAACAACACTGGTGTAATAACACCAACACAATGTAACACCACCAGTGTAACAGGAACACTGGCATAACAACACCAGCATAACAGCAACACAGCATAAAAATGTAACAACACTGGCATAACAACACCAGTGTAATAATGTAACACTAGCATAACAACATATCAACACCAGTATAACAAAATCAGCATAATAACAATGTAATACTGGCATAACACCACCAGCATAACACCATATAACAACAGCAACAGCGTAATGACTACACCAGTGTAAAAACATCAGCCTAACAACACTGGCATAGCAATCCCGGCGTAACACTGGCATAACAGCAACATAACACTGGCATAACACAACCAACATAACAACACTGGTGTAACAACACCAACATAACACCGGCGTACATAACAGCAACAACATAACAGCACCAGCGTAACACTAATGCAACAACACTGGCATAACAACAGCAATGTAACGACACCAGCGTATCAACAACAATACTGGTGTAACAACATAACGCTGGTATAACAACAACATAACAATACTGGTGTAACAACAATGTAATAACATGGTGTAACAACAGCAATATAACACCAGCTAACAACAGCATAACCTCAGTGTAACAAAACTGGTGTAGCAACACTGGTGTAACAATGTAATACTGGCATAACACTGGCGGAATACCCACATAACACTGGTGTAACAACAGCAACGTAACACTGGAGTAACAACATAACACTGGTGTAATAATGACATAACAGCAGCATAACAATGTAACAAACCGGCAAAACAACATAATACCGGTGCTCCTCCCCACACTCACAGAGACCCGGCACACAGGCACCGTGGTCACCCCTGCTTCATGTGTGAGGAAGGACGTGGGTGACCAGGCTGGCGGGGCAGAAGCAGGAACTGCTTAACCACGAGCTCCACTCCACTCCCTCCTCCAAGGCTCGACCCCTCAGTGAGTGCTGTTTATCAGTGACTCAAATATACAGGACAGTCCCAGAGCTCAGGGTTCCAATGCATACCACCTTACATGCGAGTTCCAATACCCAAGTCTCCTCACAACCTCACCTACACAGAGAGCCTGGCCTCATGACATGAGGCACCATCGTTCCTCAAAGGCTTCTGCATGCAGGACCTCTAACCTGGGATTCGTTTGTTCACCCAGCAAACTCCCTCTCAGCCTTATGGGCTCAGCTTGTAGGAGCTTTGGCCTACCCCTTCTGAAGGGCCCTATCTTTTCCTAGGCCAGCCGACTGTAATTCAGCGTCCATTTCTCCTTCTTCCCCACTACAAGGGAGGCTTCATCTGAGCTGTATCTGCCCTCTGCTGCATCCCTAGCCAGTCATACAGCACTATGTTCAGAGAGTGGATAGCAGAGAAAATGAAGACACAGATACTGTCATGGATAAACCTCAAAAACGTAACGTGGTGAGAAAGCAATATGATTACTTTGATAAAATAAAGATTAATTTGAAAATAGGATGTAGGCCAGGAGGAGTGGCTCATGCTGGTAATCCCAGCACTCTGGGAGGCCAAGGCAGGAGGATCACTTGAGCCCAGAGTCCAGGAGTCCAAGACAATCATGGGCAACAAAGTGGGACCCTGTTTCTACAAAAAATAAAAATAAATTAGCCAAGTGTGGTCCCAACTATTTGGGAGGCTGGGGTGGGAGGACTGCTTGAGCCCAGGAGGTCAAGGCTGCAGTGAACTGTGATCATGCCACTGCATTCCAGCCTGGACAATAGAGTGAGAACCTATCTCAAAAAAAAAAAAAAGAGAGAGAATGATAATAGGATATAAAGTGACCAGAATAAACAGAACTTCAATAAATGAAAAATATAATTGGAAATTAGAAATTCAGTA